ATTTATCTCTGGACAACTCCTTTTTCATTTTCTGATTTCAAAATTTCAAACCAAAAATAGGACTTTTCAAAATCCCACTTATTTTCAAAATAAGTTAACTCTGAAACCCCCTATTAATTTAATTTTATTTTAAAATGAGTATGAAAAAATTTTTTTATATGTTACGTAAAATAAGCTATTGAATTTTATGATTCCACTTATTAACTAGTATATTACCTATCGCATTGTTCTGGATTTACCCGTTTAATTTTATTTTTGAATTAAAGGCAAAAATATATATTAAGCTCACAATAGAATTATGATAATTCTAATGCAAATTAATTTATCTTATTCGGAATAGTGAATTAATCCTATAACAGAATTTTTCAGTAGCTCAAACAAATCACATTAATTTAAATACAAATTAACTTATCTTAAACACTATTGTGATTACCAATCACAACAATCCCAATGCGAACTAACTTATGGAATAGCGAATAAATTTGTAATAGAATTCAACTAATATGTCAATTCTAATGCAAACTAACACATTTTTACCACATAACATTTACTAGAATGGTGAGTAAGGTTTGTAACAAATCATTTGCAGTTACTTTATTATATAAATCACGACAATTCTAATACAACTAGCTTATCTTAACCGCATATTATAGTTACTGAAATGGCGACTAGGTTCTATAACAGAATTATTTACGGTAACTCATGATAGGAATCATAATAATTTTAATGCAAATCAACTATATATTATGTTCACTAGAATAGTGAATAAGTTCTGTAATAGAATTATGTTTATATTAATTCGTGTTAGAAAACATTATAACTTGTCTTAATTAGAACAGCAAGTCTTGTAATAGAATTCTTTCAGTAACTTATTAATAAATCTGTTAATTTTAATGAAAGCTAACTTAATATTATTGTGATCACTAGAATAGCGAGTAAGTTCTGTAACAAAAATTTTTAAGCAACTCATAATAGTAATTATGAAAATTTTACTTAACATTGAAATAGCGAATAACTTCTGTAAAAATTATTTATAGTAACTTATATGACAATTTCAATGCAAACCAACACATATTATAGTCACCGAAATAGCGATTAATTTCTGTAAAAGAATTATTTACAAATTAACTCAACATATTATTGTCGTTGGAATAATGAGTAAATTCTGTAACAGAATTTTGTTTACAATAACTCATGATAAAAATCATGTAAACTCATTTAACTAGAATAGTAAGTTCTGTACGTATCAGAATTTTTTTAGTAACTTACGGATAAATGTTAATCTCAATGCAAATTAACAACCTTAAGCACTTATTGTAGTTACAGAATAACAAGTAAGTTCTACAACAGAATTATTTACAGTAACTGATAAAAATCACGACAATTCCAAGGTGAACTTAACCATATATGAGTGCCGTCAAAGGAAACCCCAAATGCTGACTTTCAATTATATTTTGTGTACAGCCATCTATGGAAAATCTATCATGATAATAGATTTTCCATAGACGAAAGTCAGCATATGGGTTTTCCCTTGGCTGCACTCATATTATGGTTACTGAAATGGCGAGTAAGTTTCATATTGGAATTTTTTACTGTAATTCATAATAAAAAATCATAATTTTAATGCAAACTAACGCATTTTAACTACATGCTGTAGTCGCAAGTACTGTATGAAATTATTTACAGTAATTCACAATAAAATTATGAACTCACCTTAACCACATGTTGTGGTTACTCGAATAGCAAGTTCTGTAGGAGAATAACGGCAAATGTGTCGAATTATGGCAATGGTTTGGGTGACCAAATTCGTATGGTATGGGGCATAAATAATAATCTTGGCATAGCGATCGGGGATTAGTATGGTATACAGTATATAGTTTTTTAAATAGGTATTTTACACCATTTACTATACTATTTTGGTCTTCCATATTATTATAATGATATTTTGTAATCCCAATTTTGATACATCTTTTAGGTTTAGAGACCTACATAGCTTAGTACAGATTTAAAAAATTATATCGTAAAATATTACACAAGAAACAAGCTTTTTGTTTTAGCAAAGAAGCTTTATTGCAATCTAGAAAAATTTTAAATTATAATTTAAGTATAGTATAGTATGTTATACAGTATTATTAAATAAAGAATTAATAAAAATAAATAATAAAATTGTTATTTCCGATTGAACTATCATAAATGAGAGGAATAAATCATATTTCGGGATTTCATTTTTATAATTTATTTTTATTAGATGTGGCCTTTAAAAACCTGACAGTACAATAATAACATCTATGACATGTACAAGTTGAATTTGATAAATAATAAATGATAAGCTTGAAAATCAGAAGTTTCATTTTCTTATAGTAGTGCTCAAATGATTTCTATACATTTTGGGTTTATACATTTAACCTATCTTTTTTATCTCAGTATGTTAGTTTTTTTTTTTATTCATTTTATTTTTATTTCCAATTAGCTATTCAATCTTACATATTATATATTTATTCATCATTTTAACTATCAAATACCGTCGTTAATTATTCTTACATATGGTATCTTAACTCGCCAGCGGAAAAATTACAGTCCACATTATAGCAAAAATTCCAATATGGTATGATCATGTGATTTATGAATAGATTAGTCGTGCAACCAAAATTCCGAAAATCGGCCAAAATTTAGGTTGGAATGCATCGGAGTTAGACAGGCATTAATCAACAATAATAACAACTATATTATAGCAAAATTAGCGCCTGGGTAATTTTATTTAGCACGTGGATTACCGGATTATTAGCAAAGTTTATCAATTCTGGCCTATTCTGTCCCGGAATTTGGTGATTTGCTGAATTTGGATGCGCGATCAATCTATTCCTAACTACTATTATCGATATAAATTCAGTGATCTGCTTATTGTTATTTCCAAATTTTATGCTAAAAGTACGCAAATTAAACTTTTACATGTGGAATTTTGATATATAAATACGCAATTTGAAAATCTAACCTTTTAAATAATTTTTTAAAAGAATACGCAATTTAAACCTTACTTATTCAATTCGTCTATTATGGCTCTGACCTGACCTATATATAGATATTTCGGGATCCTGATATAACGTTAAACCAGTACTGCATTGTATAGAAATAGAGACCTTGAAGGTAATAAATTGCCCCATTGATAAAAGAGTTTAGATGCAAATCCTGCTTCTGATAAAATATAGTTGCTGATTTTACATATAGCATACATCTTCTTATACTTACTTTTACAATAAAATATCATTAATAATTGTGATTCTAAATTAGATAACTAATTAACTTTTTACTTATCTAACTTTATATATATTTTTCTACAATACTAGTTTATTTAACTTCCTAATTAGAATTAATAGCTATATTCTAGCTTAACCAGAATTTTGATATATTTTTGTCTAGGTATCATTTTGATTTGTTGATTTATATCAATTTGAATAATATATTTTGTTACAGTATATGATATCTTGAAATTTTATTAGTTCTAAACTAATTAATTTAGTTTGGTAGCTAATTTTTTTTAATTTGTTTAATTTAAGTTAGATAAAAATTTAACTTGTGACTTATCAAAATACTAATCTATCGAGTTAATCTAACCCAGATTATAGCTCTAGTAATTTACTATTACAGTATATATAATACTAATACTTTTATAACTAGATCTCTTTTTAGAAATTTATATTTTAATTTTTATTTTTATTTAGACTTATTACAAGACTTTATATTTGATTTAACTTTTAATTAAAAATATTTTTTATTTTAGCTTAATTTGAAACTAATATTTTGTAGAAGTGTGGTAGCTTAACTACTAAGCTGTAAAGTCTAAATTTTAATTATTTATTATAAAATGCACCTATAGTGGTTTTGCACCAATCATGTGTTTTATCATGTTTTTTAGATTTTCTAACTAACTTTTTAATATAAAAATTTTCAACACAAAATTTCATGTTTTTGAGTTAGGGTTAGAGTTTGGAAAGTGTATTTTAGGGTGTCGAACATTTTTACTTAGGACATCTTGTATTGATTAATTAACCGGTTTTTGAGATAATATATACATAAGTGTAAAACACCATAGATGCGTTTTAGTAAAAGTCATTTTAAATATTTATATTTTAAAAATAAAATTTATAATAAATAATGTTTAAAAATACTGCAGCTATCTTTGTAAATTTATACTACTTCTTTAAATACCATATCGGCAGATTTTCGGAATTAGGTTTACATGGGTTGTAAACGAACCCGTATGTATATAAAAATAATTTAAGGAGTAATTAACAATAACAATACAAAATTAAAATTAAAATTAAATTTGTAAGCGATATTGTTAATTACTTAAATTATTTTTATATACATAGGGTTTGTTTTACAAACCCATGTAAACCCAATTCCGAAAATCCGCCGAAAAGAAAAAAATAATTTTAATTCTAAATTCAGAAATTACCAAAAAGATTAATAAAAAACTCTTTATTAACTTCTTTAATAATATTAAAAATAATTATATAATAATTAAATAATAATTATAAGATAGTTAATAATTCTATTAAAATAACAAAAAATTATACATTTCACAATTTAAATAAAGTTTAAAAAATAAAAATCAATAAAAACTTTCAATAAAAATACTATTCTAAAGTTAAACTCTTTAAATATTTATAATTATTATATTTGATTCTCTCTCATATTCTCAAAACGATTTCGCACAATTGTGCAATCGACAACAATCAGGTGATTGTATATGTGACTGCTTTTTAATAAAAGACACGTAAACAGCACATAACGATACGTATTATGACTAGATTTTCAAATGTAATCTGGCGAAACTTAATAATTTGTTAACCAGATTGAATTTTGCATATAATTCTTTACTTATTATTACTTATTACGCTAAATAAAATAATTAGAAATAATATGTAACTGATTTTGCCATCTCTATAGAATAAGGCTTTTTAAATTCCACTTTTTCGAAATAAGTTAATACTGAAAGTTCACATTTTTATGTAATCTATATGATCATACTTTTTCTTGTATTTTTCTTGTACTGATTTCTTTTTTGTTTATCTGTTAAAAATTGTAAGTATATCAGATAACATTAGTATTTTATAATCCTCTTTATGAAATTGTTTAGTCTACAATTTTATATGGATCTTCATTAATTCTTGCTATGCTTTCCGGACCCGAAATCGAAATCATCAACTTATCAATAGGGGGTTTCAGAATTAATGATTCGGCGTCCGATTTCAGATAAAATAAGTGGCGTATTTATTTCAAAATAAGCAACGTACAAATTCTATTTTTTTTAAAGTATGTACTTATTTACATAATCGTTTACCGATGAATGTTTATCAAAAAAAAAGCTAATTTTATCACCGGCTATGCCTATTTAACTTTCTGATTCGGAATTTTAAAAAAGAAAATAGGTCCTTTAAACTCTCACTTATTTTGAAAAAAAGTTAATTCTGAAACCCCCTAATATCCACGAGCAAAGTTGACACTAGATGGTTGATAAAAAATGTCTTAGAGGTAAATACTATACAGACCATTTTAAATACAGCAGGGCCAGGCCAACCTGATCCAGTGGTTTATATTATTTCCCCCCTGACCTCCCCATTTCTAGGTGTTGCGGCATTTTGTAAAAATTTTTATTTTGGAAAAATTTTTTTTTAAAATTTTGTTATTTAATTTTTCCTTCTCTCTTTTGAAAGACGAGTGTAATGTAAATCACTGAATTAAAGTGACCTGTCCTAATGATAATAAGAATTAAACTATGTTAAAAAGAAGGTTTACTAAATAGTCTATGCAGTTGAACCAGTCAGCACATTTGTTCAACAGGCTTTTAATAGTGACAACAATCTGTCGGAATATGCATTTCAGTTGAATTTGTTAGCATCTTAAAATATTTGCTCTCTATGGTATATTCAGATCTACAATATAGAGCTATCGTAGAGACAAAAGATAAAGATGCTAGTGAGAATCGGCTGAAAACGCGTTGATGTCTTTATAACCAGTCAGCTTATGACTTCGAATTAACGATTGATGCAGCAAAAGAAAATTTGATGAGCATGTAGATTATACAAGGTGCTATCGCGACCTGAATCAATCATTGTATGTTCATGATTAACCTTTACACAAGTGATAGATTGTCTGGCTATTTTGAATCGAAATATTCAGATGTGACTTCTGTACATGTCTTCTACGACATTAACAGAGGAATAGCAAACGTTATATACAAAAACTGTAAAAAAAATCGGAGCCAATAGAACGGTAACGTTTTGGACGAAATCCAATTTTGCAGTTTCTAGTAATCTAAAGCCGATTAAATTTTTTATGGCTCGGCTAAGATGTTAAATTTTTATCGTAGCTAATTATTTAGTGATTGAAAACTATATCGATATAGATTTTCTTATTTATTTATTTAAATAGAGATTCTTAATATTTAAAAATTTGGTAACGAATAAATAGCACCAATTTTGAAAAATTATACACCAAGAGTATCTAGTAAAAATAATAATTTGATAAAAATTATAAGTTACTTACGTATGTATCTTCTTGATACATAATTTCATATTTTGTCAAATTTGACGTTATTGTTCTAGAAATCCTTTTTATATTGGAAGTTTTATGTTACTTAATATTTGATTTAAAATTTTACTAGGGATTGGAACCGTTATTCGTTTAAGTGAGGGGCACAGGGTTCTTGGGCATGCCTTTAAGCTAAAAGGCATGCCCTTTTATTTGATATTTAAAAAACACATATTAAGTGAAGGTGCCTTTTGATTCGTTAATATTATAATATTAACCGCTACAAAAATAATATTGGTACGTATATATATATATATATTTATAGGGGCATGCCCAAAAAATTTCCTGTGTCCCATCAACACACACTAATGCTATCTAAAAACACTACTCTAGAGACTGAATCCTAGTAATGGCAGGCTACAAAGAGGCGTGGAAGGCTTGATCCGAGTAACTAAGGCCAATAAGACTCTAGATTACGTCACAAGTCTTTAATTCGGATTACGGGATTAGACTTTATGCGCAATTTACTTATCGGGGGATTGGAGCGAATAATTATACTAATGGGCGTTTGAACTCTACTGAGTTCTTCCCCCAAAACTGCTTTATTATAGATACAGAAGGCAAAGCTATGTTCGCGTTGTTCACTATGTACAAAATGTACATAATAATGTTCATGTACAAATGTACATAACGAACATAGCCACTATGCATTTACTAGTAGTATAGAAACTATAAATACGTTGCCTTCTGTATCTATATAAACACCCATTAGGTATAAGTATTCGCTCCAATCCCCGATAATCGTGACGTAATCTAGACCTTAGTTACTCGGATCAAGTCTTCCACGCCTCTTTCGTAGCCTGCCATTACTAAGATTTAGTCTCTAGAGTAGTGTTTTTAGATAGTATTAGTGTATGTTGATATCTGTGAGACCATATTTTTGTGATTTTGGTTCAGTTACCACCCTCACAACGATTACCGTATTACCGCGAAATAACGCGCAGGGTGAAATTATAAATTTCGGCCTAAATTAAGCTTAATTCGGGCCGAACCTCGAAACAACGCCCATGGTCGTTATTTGGGGAATGGTCTAGGAAAACCTGCCTTCGGCATTAGCTGTCAAAGGCAGGGTTTCCTAGACCATTCCCCATTTCGCGAAATTTTATAGACGATTAAATTGTTCGCTTAACACGATAATCGTTTAGTTTTTTACGTGGACTTAAACAAATATGCGCATTGTTATTTAAACCTTATCAACGTTTAGGAGTATAATTATATGGATATGCCAATTAAAATCTGAAAGTGAATATTCAAGTTCTTACTATGGTGAAATGATCATATTGGTGATTAAATTACGCAATATTACAATTTTTCAAAGTTCGTCACAGTGAAAACTTAAATATTCAGTTCCTGGTTGTAATTTGGCAGCACATGTTTATTATTATATTAAGATTATTGATATGCTGATTTCCGGTTCCTAACGATTGCATTTAAACGATTAAATATACAGTTATGTAATTACGGTTAAACAGTTAAATGGCCAAACATTATACATTATTAAATGTGATTAATCGTGTAACTTACAATTAAGCGATTAACCGCCAGCATAATTTTTCGCAGTTCCATTCCCTAATTTAACTAGTTAATTAATTAGTGTGATATTCCAAGTAAAAATATTCTGTCTCTAAAAACCTCTTCCAAACCCTAACATTAATTCTAATTACCAACTCTAATGTAAAAAATTTGTGTTAAAAATTTTAGATACAAAACTTAAAAAATATAAAAAAATGTAATAATATATTACATAATAAATGTAAAATATCATAGGTGTTTTATAATAATTGTTATTAAATACACAGTCAAACCTTTATATAGTTATCACACACTCAGAATACAAAAAGTGTGATTATAGACAATCACATATAGAGATCAAATTTATAGGGAGACGGAGATATTATGACGAAGAGGATATTATGATAAATTTGGAATATCTTGTGAGCCTGTGATCCAAATCGGATAAATTTTTCACCATTCGAATCCTCTCAGTGAGAGGATTCAAAAATTACCCTGTTTGAACTACTGGATCGCAAGATATGAAGGCAAAATGATATTATAATGAACCGGGTATTAATGACGACATTAGTTATGCTAATAACATCATGTGATAGAACTCGTAAGAAACGCTTGATTGACGTGATTTAAATTTACACTGTACGTTTTATTTTGTAACACTTAGACTTTTCACCTTTTTTTTCTTCTTTTTTTAATCTTTTCAAATCAAACACATTTTATAACTAATGCAATAAATTTAGATTCGTTGTCAATATTTACTTCAGTACTATACTTGCATAGTTTAATAAAAAGATTCATTTATCTGACTAGCGATGCATTACATAAAAGCCATGATACTGTCATGGGCTAAAGGTAGATCATCAAAACTAGGCGTAGTAAATCCGTGATTGAGAAGCAATCAAGACAAGAAATACTGGTTTATCGGTTGAGGCTTATTGGCTGAATAAAACTAGTAAACAGGTTTGTAATTTAACTCAAAGCTTAGATTAATAATAACTTCTCGGTCAAATCAGCCTTATAACCAACACAAAATTTGAAGAACCTGAATGTGTAAGAAGAAAGACCAAAATTCAAAAAATCTAAAGAGAAGAAACTGAGAATTAAGAAATAGTTAGAAGTAGTTATAATATAAAATATTGTAGAAGTAAAGCCTTCTTTATTATAATCATAATGTAATTATCATTGTAAGCCCCTTAATTATAGTGATTTCTCTCTTGATTCTTTCATGATGAAAGATTAGATTTATCCCTAAGCCTCTTGAATCCATTAGTTTAGAAAAAATTATAAAAACTCTGTAATTTCACTCTTGTAAGATCATATCCTACGAGATTACAATATAACTCATATAATATATTGAATAAATCATCTTGATAAATCTTTAAAATCAAATTATTGTCAAATCATCATCATTATGCCTCTGGTGAGTTGTCTTATCACCTAAAATCTTATATTTTTATGCATATATATATTAAACCTATGATTTATCTATAACAATACTTTTATAAGACAAAAAATTGTAATAAATTAACATGCTGCCAGTCTCTTATATTAATTGACAAAATACTATTCAAGCAGCACTTAATAATTTAAATAGTTCTAATTTTAAATATGCTATAAAATATGATAGCTCTCTTAATTATACAGGCCCATCAACTATACTTACTAAGCACTAGGAATGAGAAAGTTTTTTTAAAAACTAAGTTAAACTTAGTTTAAGAGGTTAATTATTTTAAAATTAGATTTGGGTTTAAAACTATTAAAAACTAGTTTTATACAATATCTAACTACAGTTTAAATCAGCTTTAAACCTAGTTTATACTAGTTTTAAACTAGTTTAAATCTAGTTTAAATCTAGTTTTAAATTAGTATAAATCCAGTTTTAAATTAGTATAAATCCAGTTTAACTTTAGTTTTGGATCCTATTTAATATACATCAGCAAAATATATAAACATAATCCTACGTAAGTTATTACAGACTAAAATCTTGCACAAGAATTTTACAACGTGGAATCTTATACAATTATCAATTATGAAATATTATGAAATACATATGTAATAAATTACGCAATATTACACAAATTAAATTACAATATTTCACA